TCTCTTCCAAAGGGGGCAGGAAAAAAAAAAAAAATAAAAAAAAAAAAAAAAAAAAAAAAGTATCACAGTCCAGGATTATTGATGTCCTGTCAAAAGTCTCTGTGACATTTCAATTACTGGACTGGCTGATGATGACGGGAGACCAGAGCTCCATAGAGAAACATCCTAATCTAGACAGACGTTAGGGGGAGAAAAAGAAGACGCTACCCACAGCACCCGTACGGTTATACTCACCTGATCCTCCAAGAGGCCGGCTCTTACACCGGCCCATGGGGCCTCTCTTGCCCATCCGCCGCAGCAGTCTAAGGTCCCCGAGTCATCGCGTTTTATAGATTGTGTATAGAACGTGAGGACACCAAAGGACATAGCATCTTAACCCTTGCAGCACAGGGGTATCCCCACTGCAAGGGTTAACAACATTTTTAACCAGAGTTCTTCTTTAAAAAAAAAAGTCCTTTGTCAGGATGAGACAAGATGTTACAACCAACACGTTTCAGGGGTGCCATACATCAAGGCTTTAAAAGCTGTATATGACTGGGAAGCAGGGCTATCGGAAGAGGGTTCAGGTACTGGTATTGGTCGGCGTGATATATTCAGGCTGCAGCAGTCAAGCAGTTGATCGGGTGGCTGTCATCTCAAAAGCACAAAAGTAAAAAGAGGTTTCCAAAAAAATGGTTTCACAATGAAATGATGAGCTACCGTAGCACCACAAATTAGTATTTGACCAGATTTACGCTCACTTTTAACCATATCTACATCCAGAAAGAGAAGAAGTTACCCAGCACCGGCTTCAGAAAGTACATTGCTGATGTCCCTGTGAGGTGCACCCTAGCTACTGGCTGCAATGGATTGCCAAGAGCCGATTAAAGTGACACTAAACTACGGAGTTAAATCCTAAAAATACATTCAGGCACCTTAACTATTACCAAAAATGTATCTTATTTGTGTATCACTCGGCTGTAGATCCTCCAATCATCTCTGAATTGGTGCCGACACTGTCCTTCCTTCTGGAGGGGGGGCTACTTTTGTTCCCCATGGTTCCTGTGTGTTGTAAAGTAGTCACCGCTCCAAGCTCGCTCCCGTGATGAACTACAATCTCACTTATAGTTCACTGATTTGTTTTGAGATTGTAGTCCATCCTGGGAGCGAGCTTGGAGCGGTGACTACTTTACAACAGGCACAGGGGCCATGAGGAACACAAGTAGCCCCCCTCCAGAAGGAAGGACAGTGTCAGCACCAATTCAGAGATGATTGGAGGATCTACAGCCGAGTGATACACAAATAAGATACATTGTTGTTCATAGTTCAGGTACTTGAATGTATTTTTGAGATGTAATTCCCGAGTTCAGTGTCACTTTAATGCAAACTAAGTGAACTTTTTGATATTGGCATATTTGCTGCGTTTTCCGGCACTACAAGCTCCCTGATTGGCCGCCTGCAAAACGCACCCCAAGCCAAACCTTTTAAAAGCCTCGAGCCGATTACTAATTAAGGAAAAACAAAAGCTCGTCTTCACGTGAACTTGAATTCTAGCGCGCCTCATCGATTCCGCACGTCAGATAAGAGCCAGAAATTATGAAACCATTGTCTCCATCACAAAAGACACGTTTGGAATCGGCGTTGGAATTTATGAGGAGTTGAAGATTCTCTGTATTACATTTAAATATTAAATCATATGAAGTCGACGGCAATTTCCCAGCAAACTGAAGTATTTTAATACCGAATCTCTCGCCTACCGGCGATGCGCGATCCCTCATCTAAGGATGTGAAGAATGATTGAAGGGTGTACGTGGGGAACAGAATTCTTGCAGCAAGTGAGGGGGGTTGAGACACGTGCAAAAGCTGAGAAAATGTTAAAGCTGTTAGTTTAATGTGCTAATATTTCACCTTCTCTGGTCCCCCCCGCCCCTTCAACAACGTGCTAATGACATTTTATAACAAGACTTTTCTATTTTCATTACATACCTTATTTTATACCCAGTGATGTCATCACTGAGTCTTTGTGCTGCTCTATGCAATGCAGGCAGATCATGGCTGGTGGGAGGGGCCTGCAAAGTTCTGTACGTTGCTTTCAGAAAACATCACAGCACCCTGCCTCGCTTCTCCTCTCAAGAGCCCTCAGCCCTGATGCAAGCAGTGGGCTGGCTCTTTTGGGAGGAGTTATGTAAATATCAAAATGCCTCGGTGTCAGTCTGGAGGAGTGGGCGTTCCTAGGCAGGATGCATTTGCATGAAGAAAGCCCAAGCTGAGCCTCCATGATTGGACTGGTTCTTGTTAAAAGTTATATAAAATATCAAAATGCCTTGATGGGAAGATATCAGTCTGGAGGAGAGGACTGCCTAAGATCAGTGGCGTCACAAGGGGGTGCGACCCGCACCCGGGTGACACCATTGCAGTGGCGACACCAAAATGACCGACAGTCATTTTGGTGTCACCCCCTCTAAAAAGTCGGGCACTCGGTCATGGACCGAGAGCCCGACACTGTCAGGAGAGAAGAGGTGACCCGGCGACATACCTCATCCCGCCGGGTGAATGTCCCCTTCCTCTCACTGCCGGTGTCCATCGCCAAGATGGCAGCCGGCAGGCGTCAATCAGATGGCCGCGCGTGCACGATGACATCAGCACGCACGCGGTGACAACACGGCGGGGTGTAACACGGGCTAGAGACCGGGTGATACCTGGCCTCGGGACGCCCCTGCCTTAGATAACATCCACATGTGACACTGAGCTTTTATGATTGAAAAAACTGAAATCCAGCTAAAAGGGGCGGGCCAAGGACAGTCAGACTGGTGAAGGAAAGAACCAGATGATACTGGACGTCCTCCAGCCAGGAAACGAGGCGGGCTCTATCTGACTTGCTGCAGCTTCTAATGCACATTGCGAGGAGCTCCCAGTGTGCAGTGAAATCAGAGGAAGCAGTTTCAGTCCAGGAGAGGAGAGGAGCTGGTACAAGACTGAAGGGAAGGCCGGAGTTCAGCTTCTTTTGTAGTCTACTATGTAGACAGTTTTATGTTGTCAGCCATGACAGGCTGAGGAAAGGCCCTCTGCAGAGTTCTCCATCAGAAGAAAAAACATCTGGCTCAACAAATCAAACTCTTATCTTGATCTCCGGATGGTTTGAAAAGCATCTGTAAAAGATATTCCTAGAACTTTTATGGGTTTATTGGCCCTAAAAATACAGAGAGGGAAATAAAGCCGACAAGGTTAAGGTCCCTTTAAACATTTCATGTGAAGTATTGCGCAACAGTAGGAAAGTTGGTGTCGGAGGCCCTATAAAGCCCTTCAAGCGGCTCTAATCAGCCTTGATGAGGAATGTCACAAGAGAGGTTTTACTAAGTAACAAAACAAGGGCATAAAGAGGAGTCACAAGAGAGATTAGTGAACTGAGAGCTGTATGTTGTTTGCATGGCTAGGAGCACGACTGTAGAGCTCCATTGTCTGCATGGTGGCCAAGAGATCACACGGAATGTAGACGTGGACATGGTCCACAGCCACAGGCCGAGGAAGCATCTCCTGAACCAATATTTGCCGTGACGTCACGCCTCGTCCTGTGAGCTCAGCTCGATGCCGACAGTCGTAATTTACCGACTGATCATTTTGTCTACGTCACTGGAAGGCAAAAGGTGATAGAGGACAGCCAGTAAGACATCTTCCACCATTCACCTGCATGGCCGCCAGGATTAGATCTTAGACAGTAACTGGTGAAGGAGGGCTTGGGGTCTCCTAGACTCCTACCAGAGAGTCAAGCCAGAGCACGCAGAGGGTAAATGATATAGAAGACCATAAAAATCTAAATGCAGATTCCTGGTTAGACTTCAAACCCTGCCAGGCAAAGTTGGGCGCCATTCATATTATTGCATTGCAGGAACGCGTGCATTACCACAACGCACAAACCGCGTGCTACTTGAGATGTCATCTTGCATGGCACACCAGCGTACCTTGCCGCTGCAGGTGCGCTTCGCTGCCGTTGTGGGGCGCTTCTAAAGAAAAAGGGTGCAGGTCTGATTTCTCGACTGCAGAGGTGCATTGCCAGCCCATTTCGAGCGCACGTTGTGAACCCGGGCCTAAACCAAAGCCCGCCAACGACTTCTAGCACGCGGACATGGCTGCTTTGCCAGCCTACCCAGAAGGTCAGATGGTATTATTCAGAAATCCGAACCCTCTTAACTTCTTAGTCAGAACGACCTTTGCCTCTTTCCGCTGCCATCGATGCGAAAATGACAGATGCAACAATTAATCACATTTCATAAGCGGCGTCCATTAAACTGATTTCCTGGTAGTCCCATCAGCCAATTAAACACCCACAAAGTCTTTGGCGCTTAGCCCCCGGGAGAAATATTATATTATTCCTATAAAAAAGAAAAATTTGCAGTTGGTCGTGTTTGGTT